TTTGCAAATGCACCAGGTCGGTGTGAGGTACTGGCTGGGATCTTTACCATTCTCAGAGTCACCTGAAAGAGCAGGAATAAATGATGGATGATGAGGACCTATTGGGGTTTGGAGCAAATGGTCAAGAAAGAATTCTTGAGATATCTTCAGTGCAAAAAGGTGGTTTTATTAAAGCACAGGGGCAAGACCCATGGGCAGAAAGAGGTGCATTAGGGTTGTGAAGGGTGGTGATTATATACTTTCAAGGTGGGAGGGGGATTAGGGACATCATAAGTCTATTAGGGGCATTGTAAGTCTATAGGTTTCCAGGACCTTGAGGGGGTTAGCCATTGTTAGGAAAAGGGCATTTATTACTGTCTAGTAAAACCTTAGTCATGAGACCCTTCAGATGTATATCAGTGGACCATATGCTTAGTGGATGATTGCCAACATATATCTTGGGGGGGAGAGATAAGAGAAGTTAAAGGAATTTTTATATGTTAAAGAAGTCTTACAGGATCCCAGAGGTCGGGATAATGTTAAGCCAAGATTGCCTTTTGCCCTTAGCAAAGTATTAACATTGAGGCAGCTGAATTTCTAGAGGAATGTCACCCTGCCTGTTTCAAGGACTTGTCAATGGGCTGTAAGTAGTAAGAAAATTTCATTTTTTTTCATTTGCCTTGGTTCCATATCAAGAGATAGCAGAACTATTGAGATCAGTGGCCCTGAGTTTTCTTTGAGTCAGGTGTTCTTAAAAAATTGCTTTTCTGGGGGCGCCTGGGTGGCTCAGTCGTTAAGCGTCTGCCTTCGGCTCAGGTCATGGTCCCAGGGTCCTGGGATCGAGCCCTGCATCGGGCTCCCTGCTCCGCGGGAAGCCTGCTTCTCCCTCTCCCACTCCCCCTGCTCGTGTTCCTTCTCTCACTGTGTCTCTGTCAAATGAATAAAATCTTAAAAAAAAAAATAAATAAAAAATTGCATTTCTGGCTGCAGATTCCCCAGGCTTTCCCAGTGGTAGGAAAGACCAAGCTGATTTAGAAGGTTTCAGGACCAAAATGTATAAGAGGTCTTGAAATAAGGAAGAGTTGAACAGTTAGAATTTGTGGAGTAGCAACCATCCCTTCTCTCTCCTGTTCACACAGGGGAGGAAGATTTGACATTAGCACCTCACTCCCTTTTCTACTAGACTGAGGGTGCCATATATCCTGTTTCCACTAAGTTAGGAAATAGTGATTATCTCTTTTCTGATGTTTGCTAAGCTACAGAGCCTTCTAGTACTTCATTTACCTGAGAGAAGGAGAAAGAAGCATGATAAAAAGAGGGAAGCAAAAGAGAGTGAGTGGCTGGTGAATAGCTTACATCCCTACCACTTAGTTTAAGAATACATGAGTTTCCAGGGTACTTGCGTGGCTCACTCAGTTGTGTGGCTGACTTCAGCCCAGGTCATCTCAGGGTCCTGGGATAAAGCCCTATGTTAGCATCAGGCTCCCCGCTCAGCAGGGAGTCTGCTGTCCCTCTCCCCACTCACTCATGCATGTGCATAAGTGCTCTTTCTCAAATAAATAAAAATCTTAAAAAGATGCACAAGTTTCCTGTAAGTTGAATTGACACCATGGAAAGTGGCAGGACTGAAGCTACTTGCTAATACTCCCCACAACACACACCCATGAGTGGAGTGATTAAGCCCAGTCACGTTCCACAATTAAACTCATGTGTCTTTGCCATCCCTGGTGGTGGGGATCCAACAGTAAAATGCTGTGGACTAAACTGACTTGGGAGTCAAGCAGGTAGGGAGAGAAAGAGGTAAGAATCTCTCAATCCAGGGGACTATGATAGGAGCCCCTAGAGAACCCTCAAGGAATAACCATGACCAAATGTGCTAGAGAAGAACCAGCATTTGGACATCGGTCTCATGAATGAAACTAACAAATGTCAACACAAGGAAAGCAAAATGTAAGGAGACTTTGGTTGTATGTTTTCTCTCTCTGGGTGTTGTTGGAATATACTTTTAGCTGCCAAATAATAACAATGCTGGATCATATATGTATGGGCACAGTTTTCACTTTTCTCTCAAGTTTTGTTCACAACTGATTATGATAAAGCTAGTGTTGCTGTCAACATCTCACATATAAGAAGTATGACTGTGAAATGACAAATTAATAAAACACAAAAAGGAAATGTGAGTCTAAAAGAAAATAGATTGAAAGGGGCCATTAGAATCCAATCATTTAGAAAAAACAGTAAGAACTAAATTTATTTGATAGCAATATATTTAAAAAAAGTAAAGGGGTTTAGATACCCAAGATACCAAAAGGAAAGAAGGCCCAGGAAAAAAGGCAGTCATAGACCCTGTTGTTTTGAAGATAGGAGACCGACAAGTAAATCCTTTATTTGAGAAAGGCAAAGAACTTGGGCTTTGATCAGAAATTCAGCCTAAAAGGGACTTTTCTACTTTTTCAGACGGCCCTACTATAACTGTCTCATATAATAAAGATCTAGCCTCTGTAACTGTATAGTTCACCTTGCCCTTGGACCATCAAACAAGCTGATCTACAAGAAAGACCAGAGACAAAAGCCAGAAAAACAGACATTGTTGACTCAGAAGAAAGCTGCTGGCCAATGGGATTCCTCCTAACCTTCAAGTACATGTTAATACTGCTACTACCTAAGTGGAGAACAAGAACATTCAGTAAATGGTGACTGCACACAACAGGAGTCCCGCTGGTCTATTTTTTCTTCTTGTCCATCTTGTCCATAAAATCAGGGTTTTCCTACTAAACAATCAAGGCAAAGGTTAGAACAAGTCATTTCATCTAGTCCACAAAAAGACCTGCACCAGCTTCACCTTCACACAGCTTATCTGGAAAGACGGTGCACCGACTGCACTGGCAGAAGTCATCAGAACTGATTACAGTGGTAACTGTGATGAGATCTGACATCACTGGGAGGCAAAGTGAGAAAGAAGCAGGCCCATGAGCTTGCCACAGAACTAGTTTTAAATGTACTCTGTTAACTTCTCTGTCAATAAAAATAGAACATCCCCTTAAAACAGAGAGAAAAGCTATTGAGGCATTAGATCCAGGGGATAAAAGCTAGGATATAACATCTTATCCTACTCCAAAAGTGATTAAATAAAATCACAAGAACAAGAACCTGTGGAAGATTTGAGACCTTACTAAAAATTAATGCTGTTTAATTAGAAAATGTTGGGAAATCTACTTTATGTTTTCACCAGCAGTCAAGAAACAGCAATAAGCTTCTCATGATGAATTACTGATTCTGACAGGAGTCAACTCTTTAGACCACGTGGAACCTCTGACTTTTGTCAGCATCATAAATCATTAAGAAAACCTTCTATAGACATTGTGGATATTAGTGGATTATCACTGGTGTTATAAAAGAAGCTTGTAGTGCTAGGATGATTTTAGCAGCAAATATATGTGTATTATCAGATCCTTGAACCAACTCAAACTGCCTTTAAAAACAAAGAAATTTACAATGTCACATGAGGAATTGGGACACAAGATACTTCAAAGATTGGCTACTTTAGGGGCTCAACAATGTCTGAAGCATCCCTATTCTTTCTTTTTGGGTGATGCCACCCTCAGCACATTGCTTTTTGTCCTTATAATTATCCTCATGATTCTGTCTAGAGGGTTTATCCCCTTCATCTAACAACAGGTAGAAATTAGCCATCCTTCATTACTAGAAATGGTTTAAGTGACCTTCTCATGTAGCTTTGCCCCACACTGTTAGGCAGTTAGAATGCAATCAGGCAAAAAAAGTAGCCTCAGACATGATGTGTACAGAGTTAGTTTATTACAAGTAATCAAAATTGATAAAACTGGAAAAGTAAAGAAATACTCTCTTTCAACAAAAATTAAATATGGATGCCGAAAATAACTACAATAACAGTGCCCAATAGTTAAACTCTCTCTTCAAATCTTAACACTAGAGGTATACATACTTTTTCCTGGTAACGTTATTGAGTATTCCATTTTTCCTAAAACCATATTACATTAATCACAATTTGCCTAAATTATTCTGATACTACATTTAAAACAATCATCTCTTAAATATTTAAATACCATTAGAGTGCAACTTCGATCATTCAGAGAGATTTCCATTTCAACTCAATGAAAAACATCCATATATTTACATATTTTACTCTTTTCTGAGTGGGTCACCTCCAGACCTCTTGGAATAGTTCACCCTTTTCTACGAAAGTGTATGCGATTCATAAGTTCTCTGAACTTCAGTATTAAGGAGTAGTTATTTATGTTGTCTTTCCATGTTTCATAAGTCCTTCTAAATTTGTCATAATAACTTTCTTTTTTCAAATTGAAATCTGATCCAATGTTTTTAAAATAACTGTCTTTTTTCCATATTTCTCTCCAGGAGCCTTTGAATTTTTCCAAATAACTTTTTTCAGATTCTTCCTTCCATATTCCTTCTCTTTTTTTTAAGGCTGTTAATTCGGCTTTAAGTAAGTTTCTGTGAATTGTCCAATAGATTTTAGAATCATAATCTAGCCCTTTAACAAGAACAGTTTTGCCAAGGCCTCTTCTCAAAATTTCTTCATTCAGACTCACACTAAAATATCTACCCTTGAATAAAAAATAACACAAACCAATTACTAAAGAAAATTGCACCATACCTGCAACATCTTCTTCACTTTAAAATTTATTTACTTAAATTAAATCGTCATTCAGAGGGGTGCCTGGGTGGCTCAGTGTGGGTTAAGTGCCCAACTCTTGATTTTGGCTCAGGTCGTGATACTGAGCCCCGCGGTGGGATACTGAGCCCTGCGGTGGGCTCTGTGCTCAGTGCACAGTCTGTGCAAGATTCTCTCTCCCTCACCCTCTGCCCCTCCCTTTCCTCCACGCATTCTCTCTCTAAAATAGATGAAAATCCTTAAAAAAAAAATTAGTCATTCAGCAACTTATCCTTCAGAGACTAAAGCCAAAAAACATAAAGCAAAGGGATCTCCAAGATCTTAAAACAGCTAATGCTAAATCCAAGAATTTCATTACTAGAAGAGATCCTTGTTCGAAGTCAATTGCCCCTTTTATTTTTTTTTTTTAAGATTTTATTTATTTGAGAGAGAGAGCACGAGCAGGGGGAGGGGCAGAGAGAGAAGCAGACTCCCTGCTGAGCAGGGAGCCTAAAGCCAGGCTCATTCACAGGACCCCGAGACCACGACCTGAGCAGAAGGCAGTCACTTAACGCAGTCACTTAACCGACTGAACTACCCAGGCACCTCTTAATTGCTTCTTTTGTAACATATCGTTTCTCCACAGACTCACTGGTGTTCTAACCCAGAGAGATGTAGAAGTAATAAAGTATAAAAAGTGGTTTTGGTTTGTTTGCTGTTTGGAGGGGGAAAGGAGCACACAGGATAGACAAAACAACAGAAGGCCATAGCAAAAGAAACTAAAAAGTATACAAATGCAGACTGAACTGAATCATCACTGAACTGTTAGATTAGGCTTCAGAATTCCAGCATGTAAGAAGGTGCTAGCATGTAAATACATTTTTAAAAGACTTCCCACAAAATAATTAACATTAAAAATAGTCCTGGACCTTGAATCTTCATCCTTCAGGAAATTTCCTTCAAGGAAAACCTCACTTCCTAATCAAACTGGGTAAGTGGGATTTTTTTCCCACTAATTTATAGCTCAGTCAGCGGACCTGAGACTCTTGATCTTGGAGTTGTGGGTCTGAGCCCCATGTTGGGTGTAGAGATTACTTAAAATTTTTTAAAAGTCTTTAAAAAAAATTAAAAAAGGAGATCCTGCTTAGCTGTTTATACAGTCTTTGTGGGATTTTAACCTAACAAAATTAATTTTAACAACATATTGATAATTTAATAGCTTTGTTAGTCAAGTACTTCACAGTTAAATTTTAAAAATGTGAAAACTCCAGATTTCAAGTAGGAGACATTTTTTAGGACTTTCTGAAGGAACAAAGTAACTTTTCCCTTAAATGCAGTAACTTTTGGTTATAATAATGAGTTAATAAATACAGTCTTAAAGGATTTATCATATTTTTCTCAATCTTTTAAATTTTAAGAGCTCATTCCCTTCAACCAAAATCAGAATAACTAAAATTCAATCTCACACATTAGTAAAATTCAACAGATGTAAATTACCACAGTATGCATATACTGCATAGTTTGGTCACCCAGGAAGCAATATAAGCTAAAGTATATAAGGTGAAGTATGAGCTCAGGAGCCAGAAAGAGCTGGGTTGAATACAGGCTCTTCCATTTGGTTACCTTGAGTCCCATCTGTAAATGGGAGTAAAAACAATGACTCCCTAGGGTGGTTTTGAGGATAAATAAAATACCCTTCTCAACTTAAAAGAGAAAATATATTTTTTTAAATTTTTATTTTTTATTATTTATAATTTATTTTATTTATTTTTAAAGATTTTATTTAGCGGGCGCCTGGGTGGCTCAGTTGGTTAAGCGTCTGCCTGAGGCTCAGGTCATGATCCCAGGGTCCTGGGATGAGCTCCCTGTCAGGCTCCCAGCTCAGTGGGGAGCCTGCTTCTCCCTCTGTCCCTCACCCTCCCCTTGCTCAAATCTTCTTTATTTGAGGGAGAGAGCACTCATACACAGGGGCCAGCAGGCGGAGGGACAGAGGGAGAAGGAGAGACTCTCAAGCAGACTCCCCGCTGAGTGTAGAGCCCAATGCCTGGCTTGATCTCATGACCCTGAGATCATGACCTGAGCAGAAATCAGGAGTCGGACACTTAACCTACTGAGCTACCCAGGCACCCCAATTTTTTTATTTTTAAGTATCTCTACACCCAATGCAGGGCTCTAATTCATGACCCCAAGATCAAGAGTCACATGCTGCACTGACTGAGCCAGCCAGGTGCCCAGGGAAGCTAATATTTTTATAAGGCCTTTGGCATCTTTATTTTGTATTACCAGCTTACTTTTCACGTAAGACACTTCAACCAATCAGTGTTGGATAATTCTTATTTTGAAAGCACTGAATATGATCTGGACATACAGCAATTAGTGGGTTTCATCAGGCTTTCTATTGATAGTTCAAAAAGCTCTGAAGAATTAAAATGGTTACAATTTTAATCACTTTAATGTGAGGTTATTTTTTTCTTCAGGTTATTTTTGTGTGACAAAGGACTTTAAGAATAAGAATGTTCTTAATCCTGTCATAACACTTTACCTACTTAGTTTTCTACATTCGTTTTTCAGTAATCGTCCACCAAAAGCAGTAGGAAGTAAGGCTCATGCAAGGGCTCAGGACAGAGACACGGCAACACTGATGAAGCCCCATAGCATCCCCAGTTACACAATGGCCACGGTCAATTATAATGGTAGGAAAACTGAGGCAAAAGCTTCAGATGACTGATTACTGATCGTACACAGGATTTAAAAATGCTCGACTTTAGAGTTCAGAGACTGAGCACTATTTACTTCAGAAAACACTTTGCTCTTTGTAGTTTCCAGTTGACAGGGCTCACTCAACAAGCAGCTTCTAATAACAAGGGTGATACACTATACTCATGTGTAAGTAAATGTGTAAAGATAATCCTTAAGTGAGCAATGTCCAAAGTCATTAGTAATTTTAAGTTTCTTCCATTTTCTTAATTTTTCATTTTTTCTATAATAAACATATAAATAAAATTTAATAACAAAATGTACATATGAAACACCTGGTTCTCTATACATGATCACTATGAGTAGCAGTTAAGAAAGACAAAAATTTAGTCACATTGCAGATTCAAGGTTCTAATTAATGATGTTTGTGTATAAATAAAAAGAAAAAAATATTGCTCATTATTTCTTCACTCTACTTACCTTATTCACTAGAAGATAGCAAAAGAGTACTGAATTCTCCTTTCCAAGAAGTTGAAACCATAGCAGTTGGGAAGGTTTTAACTCTTTTTGTAACCACACCTTCCCAGTGTCAGTGAGTTCTACTCCTGCCAGCTTAACGAGCAAAACACCACATGGCTCTTCTAAAAACGTTAGGTAGAAAATTGTCTAGCTTTAATACCACGTTGCAAAAGCAAATTTCAAAGTCACACGTCCCCCCTCCCAAACAACTGAATATATTATTTCTTTACAAACACTGAGACTCTCTAGATGTAGGTCCATTTATATCTGTATTCAAGTTTTCTTTTAAAGCAACCCAAGCATGTAACAGATGGAATAATGTAAAAAACCCATTTCAGTAAGCTCCAGAACAGGATGGAGAAGCCATTAATAATAATATGCATATATGGCAATTTACAGTGCTGTGTCACTGCATGACCTCTGGAAGCAGGTTCCTATTGAATAGCATCCCCAGAGTTGTGTAGTGTACAGCCTGGACAAACCCAGGTAGCGACTTTGCTGCCTGAGCCCTGAAGAGTCATCACTATTTCAGAGAGAAGAGATTTAAATTATGACAACATAATTACAACAACCGAGAAGGTAGAGGATTTATGAAGTCTAAATCCTGCTTAGATTGCAATGGCCAGCAAATAAACATCCTAGGTAACCTCTCTTTAGGGAACAATAGTCATTCAAATTGTTTAAGTTCTGTTTGATTTGTTAAAAGAATCAATCATGTCAGGTGTGTCTGGGGGAAAAAAAATCAATCTTATTCCTTCACAGTCATATCTTGTTGGACAGAGTGATATTCATTCATTTGAGGGTAAAAAATAAGAACCCCTTTCTTTATAAAATTAAAACAATATTAAGAAGATCTTTAAATATAACTAAATTTACTCAACAAATTTTACCAAGTTTTTATTGGCTAACAATTATTTCCCTAGGGACTGTGAATAATGAGATAGGTAGGAAAAGGTCCCTGCCCACCAGAGGCTCAGGTTAGTGGGAGGATACAAGCCTAACACATGATTATAGGAAAATGTGTTTAAGTACTGTAACCGCAGTGTGTATAACTTGGTGTGGCTGTAGTAAAGAAAGAGGCTAATTCTGCTTGGGAGTTAAGGAAAGCTTCACGGAAGAGCTGACATTTGAGCTGGATACTAAAGAACTGGAGTTCAACAGGAGCAAGACACTCTGCGGAATTGTGTTCCAGGGCATGAGAACCCGAGTAAACAGCAGGCCGGAAGGTCTGTGTGGGCAGGTCTTTGACACAAAGCAGGGAGACATGGGAATAGCGGCGGGAAACATCCAGCCCTTGCTCAGCTCTCCAGTCTCCTTCGGGGTCTCTTGCCCCCTTCTTCCCCACACCACAGCACTCTACCAGTCTTCATATGGCTTATCAAAGGAGCCAAGTTCATTCCCACAAACCCTCTGCCTAGCTAGCCCCATCTCATTCTTCAAGTCTCTGATTAAATTAACAACTCATCAGTGAGGCTTTCTCTGACCACTTTAGAGCTGTAGGTTCCCGGTTCCCATGACTCCAATAATGCTCGAACTAGCACTTTGCTCCCTTTCTTCATAGTTCTTAGGACAACCTTCATTTGTCTGTTGTCTATTTCCCACTTAGACTGTAAGCTCCAAAGGGCAGTCCTGTCTGTTTCCCTCAGCACCATACAGCTACTATAGGGCCTAGAACGTAACAGTTGCTCAGTATCTGTGGAAAGAATGCATGAACGCCTGAATGAAATACTGAATGGTTGAATAAAAGGAGGAAGGGGGGAGAAAGAGAAATCTGGAGCCAAATTAAATAGTTCCTGGTATTTAAAGCCAAGAGTTTGTACTTTTCCCACAAAGTTATCAAAACTTAGAATGACATTTTTTGCTATTTTACAAATAACTTCTAATTAGCAAATACTAAAATATTTGTATTAGTCTTGCACTTTACTTACTTTTCCATGAAGATATAATAGGTAAAGTGATAGGAATATGCTCAATTTCTAAACCGTTCTCAGTTATTCGGCGTAATCGTCCACGTAGTTTAACATTCTTTCGTATAAATTCTACTGGAATATCTGAAGAACTTGTAAATTTTGATGTCTGTTGATTTATAAAAAAATATATAACATTTAATTATTTTCATTTTAAAATTAAGTATGTCAAGTTGTCATCTAAACATTTAACAAGAAGATATAACCACTGAAAAATTTTAATTTGGTCCTTAATTTTATTTTTTTAATTTTTTTATTTATTTTTATTTTTTTATTTTTTTTTAAAGATTTTATTTATTTATCTGACAGAGAGAGACACAGCAAGAGAGGGAACACAAGCAGGGGGAGTGGGAGAGGGAGAAGCAGGCTTCCCGCGGAGCAGGGAGCCCGATGCGGGGCTTGATCCCAGGACCCTGGGATCATGACCTGAGCCGAAGGCAGACGCTTAATGACTGAGCCACCCAGGCGCCCCTTGGTCCTTAATTTTAGATTAATATTTAACTATGATTTAATCAAAGTGTTTATAGGAGGGGGGGCACCTGGCTGGCTCTGTTGGTGGAGCATGCGACTCTTGACCTTGGGGTTGTGGGTTCGAGCCCCACATTGGGTGTGGAGATTACTTTAAAAAAAATCTTTCAGGGAAAAAAAAAAGTATGAATACTAAAAGTGAGAGTTAGTATTTTAAAAGATCCTGACAACTAGGATGATGGGATAAAATATAAAATTCTTCCCCTGTATTCCCCGCAACTAATGTAGGATAGAAGAGAATAAACTAATTGTAGCACATATGAAAAAGATTAAGACCTTTTAGTTCACTGTGAACTCAAAATGAAAGTGTGACAAGTCTACAAAAAAAAAAAAGTACAAACTCCCTCTCTTCTTGACTCCCCACTGCTCCCCACAAAAGTCCAAACACCAAGCAACGTTGTAAGGAACAGGATCCAAAACAAGAGAAGTGAGGAAGAGATTGCTCTAAATCAGGCCCGAATGGAAAACACTGTGCTGTCCTGGGTATCACATTTCATAAAAGACTTCAACAAACTGGAACAAAGCTAGAAGAGGAGAAAAAAGACGATAAAGAGCCTGGAAACCACACCACATGAGAAAACCAAGAATATTTTGCACAGGAGAGATGAGACTTAGAAGTAGAGAGGGTCATTAATGATGTCTTCAATTACTAAATATATCCCTTTTTAATTTTTAGGTGTTTTCATTGACAGATATACATAAAAAGACCTAAGAGTGCCTTGATGTTTGGAGTTTTAGAAATTATTAAGGAGTTTAGCCCGGTGATGGGTATTAAAGAGGGCACATTCTGCATGGAGCACTGGGTGTTATGCACAAACAATGAATCATGGAACACTACATCAAAAACTAATGATGTAATGTATGGTGATTAACATAACAATAAAAATATTTAAAGAAAAAAAGAAATTATTAAGGAGCTAGGGGACGAAACTGTCTATAGAATCCATGTTCATACTCTCAAGGAACTCACAGTCTATGTGAAGAACCTTTAAAGGTAGATCCCACTGCATCTACCTTTTCTGCATCCAATAATCCCTCAACAGCAGAAAGTCTGGTGCTGTGTTTCTGTCATATAACAGGCACTATCTGGAAGATGAACTAACAATATACATAAAACCAGAATACAACAGCAGAGCAATACATAAATAGGTTTAAGATAAAGTATAAGTGGGCGCCTGGGTGGCTCAGTCAGTTGGGTGTTTGCCTTTGGCTCGGGTCATGATCCCAGGGGCTAGGATCGAGCTCCACGTCAGGCTCTCTGCTCGGTGGGGAGCCTGCTTCTCCCTCTCCCTCTGCCTGCCGCTACCGGCTTGTGCTCTCTATCAAATAAATAAAATCTTAAAAAAATATATATAACGTACAAGTGCTAAAGGGTTGGGTTCCTCGGTGGCTCCGTCGGTTAAGCATCTGATTCTTGATTTCAGCTCAGGTCATGATCTCAGGGTCATGAGATTGAGCCCCTGCTTAAGATTCTCTCTCCCACTCCCTCTGCCCCTGTCCATGTTCCCTCTCTCTCAAATAAGTAAATAAAGTCATAAATGCTAAAGGGTCAAAAATCGAAAGAATAAGAACATTTGAGGAAGATATCTTTAAAGGAAGTGAATTCTGAGCTTGTGATAAACATCCTGCTCTCTAAAAGAGGCAGAAAGATGATGCCACTAACAAGAACATTGTCCCTAAGCTTCAGATGGTGAAGGCAGTGTCCTAAAGGCAAACAGACAAAAGCTGGAAGCATTGTGAAGAGAAAATAATAAGGGTTTCAAATTCAGGAAGATGAAATTTGAAATCCAATTTTGCCACATACTAGCTGGATGATCTTGTGAAAATTACTTAACTTCTTCAAGCATCCATCTCATCTATAAAAATTAGGTAGAAGAACACCTGTTTCAGGGCACCTGGATGGCTTAGTTGGTTCAGCATCTGACTCTTGATTTTGCTCAGGTCATGATCTCAGGGTCATGGGATCAAGCCCCGAGTCAGGCTCTACAATCAGTGGGGAGTCTGCTTGAGATTCTCTCTCTCCCTCTGCCTCTCTCCCCACTCCCTAAATAAATAAACAAACAAACAAATAAATAAATAAAATCTTTTTTAAAAAAATAGAACACCTGTTTCATAGGATTATCTTAAGTATTAAATGAAATTATGTATATCAAGTGTTTAGCACAGTACTGAACTCAATCATTTTTATTTTAAATAAGAAATTTGGACTTTTCTACCAGTAATTGAAAGAATATGAGAGACTGGTAAAGTCAGGAGGAGGAAAAAGGGGAGAAAAACAGCAACACAAAAAGAAAGCTGAAGGGGAGCTGTGAAGGCTCCTTGTGCCAGGCCCTTGGTTGGTTAATGCAATATCCATTCCCAAGCCTCTCTCCCTTGTCATCATGTACTTTAAGGGATGGAAAAGCTAAATGGCCACTTTCCCAACCTCCTTTCCACCTAGAGGTGGCCATATGATAAAAGGATGTAAGCAAAAGTATACTGAAGGCTTTTGGTAAAACTTTTGCTTTCTTGATAAAAGGAAAAGATGTGGCTTCCTTTTCCCTCTCCTCCTGCTTTGAACATGAATACACTATTTGGAGCTAGAGCAGCCATTCTGTGCCATGAGGAAAGGCACAGAGTATCATACAGACCTAAACTCTCTGTCACTGAGCCAGAGAAGCAATGCCAGCAGCCTCCTACCTCCAGAAGTCTTATGACATGAGAAAAAAAGCCTTTTAACTTGGTTAAGCCACAGTTGCATGGGGTTTCTCTTACTTGTAGCCAAAGTTCTCCAACTGTTACACAATAGAATTTTTTGTCCCCTAATGTCCCAATGTTCTTTTTCCACCTTTTTAGTTTGTTCTCATCAATAGTCACTATTTTAAAAAACTATAAAATCTAAGAAAAAAAAGACACCAGAACTATAGTCTAAGATGAATAACTTCATAACATACTAATATAAATTTGTATTAATGAATAAGTAATTTGCATAAACCAATAACATTCCTAATATTGTATAACTTAAAATGATCTATAATTAATTTATGTAATTTTTAAGGGCTAACAAGAGAAATAATCCCTTAGCATTATTTTAATCTAATTCTTTTTTTTTTAAGATTTTATTTATTTGTTTGAGAGAGAGCTATTGAGAGAGACAGAGCACAAGTAGGGTGAGGGGCAGAGGGAGAAGCAGGCTCCCCACTGAGCAGGGAGCCCGATGTGGGGCTCAATCCCAGGACCCCGGGATCATGACCTGAGCTGAAGGCAGACACTTAACCGACTGAGCCACCCAAGCGCCCCTTATTTTTACCTAAATTCTTAATCAGATCATTTAGTATTTTGACAATTTTGAAACCTTTAAAATACAAATGTCATGGAAAATAGATTGTAAGATAAAGAAAAAGGTGGAATAAAAAGAGCTAAAGTTTCAAAAGTTCCATTCTAAAAATATATATATAAGCTAAACGTGAATGATGGAGGTGTTAAAAGAAAAAACCTATTAGATTATTAAATATAAGGTTAAAAATGAGTTCAAGGCACGTAATAAAAAAAGGGGGGATAAAAGTTCTGACACTGGAGTCAGAAAAGGCAACAGTTAGAAAAGATGTACTATATAGTATGGTGACACTACGTAGTCAATGATAATATAAAACAATATAGAGATAATAAATGTAGGACATTAATATACACAGAAGCAATAAACCCCTACCAGATTGTAACATGATACTATAATTACACCCAGTGACAAGAATCAGTTACATAAAAAACACTTATAAATCTTGAATTGTCAAACGGACTCCACAATATCTATTATTAACATTATTGAAAGGGCAAAAAATATGCTAACTGAAAGCATAAATTATTTTTTTTACATCATACTTCTTGCTCTATTCATTAAATAGATCTTACAGATTATTGCAAAACAGAGAAAGTATAAATTATTCAGTGCTAAAGGACATTATTAGACTGTAATCTAAATCTAAAACCACTATACAAAACAGTTTTGAGAGATGCTACAATGTCTGAAATGCAAATTTAGTGATTATCACATTCTAGCCAACTAAATCCTTTACAGATTCCTTTTTAAGCACAAAGAAAAGTGATTATGGAAATACAGACTGGGCAATCACTTTCCTGTGGATGTGTTGCTTTTAAACCAAGATCTTAAAATAGGTTTGTTGTTCTAAAATAATATTTAAAACTTCTAATATGAATAACAAAATGATACATTGCTTGAAAGAAAAACGGTCTTGAAGTGAGAAGAAATTAACTGTCTCTTGCTTTTCATTGTGCCTTCTTCATTTTTTAACTTACCATCCGAACACTTCTTAGAAGTAACATTGTTCCAGCTATGGCCATTACGGTGCTGATGTTCTTCAGAAAGAGATTAAATGATTAATTCTCACTAGTTATTATTCATAATAGTAAAAGTACTAATTGGAAGGGGGAAAAAAAGAAGACTGGCCTCCCTGAGTGTCCAAATAAGGCACATCCTTCAACTAAAGGCCCATTTCTCCCAACAAACTTTAACTGCCCACCTATTCATTAATCTTCCCTCTTTTCTCCCAATCTGGCATGCACAGTAATTATATATGTAACATTGTATTGTTCTCTATTGACTGTTCCTTTTAACCATGAATTCCTTAAATGCATGGATTGGTCTAATACTTCTTGAACAATGCCCACAGTAACTTGCATAACCCTGAGTCTACAGTGGGAATGTAAATATTTGGTAGAAAACTTTACCATCAAAACCTTAAAATATAATGGATGTATATGTGGGTAAACAGTTGGGGGAGAACTTATGGATGTTTTTAAAGTGCTTCATTTAAACTGGAATAGATTGGGACAGCTCAGGTCCTGATCGCAGGGTCCTGGGATCCAGCCCCAGGTCAGGCTCTCTGCTCAGTGGGGAGTCTGCTTCTCCCTCTCCCCGCTGCTCCCCCTGCTTGTGCTCTCTCTCTGTCAAATAAATAAATAAAATCTTAAAAAAAAAAAACAAAACTGAAATAGACTTAAAAAAGTTTAATTTAAAAATAAGAACCTGCGACTTCCTCAACAAGAGTGATAATCTAACATGCTTTCTTTCAATAAATACAACTAGGTATGTAAGAAATGAAGCTGAAAATATACACAAGGAAAGAAATGAAGATGCTAAGATTGCTCTTAGTGTTCAAGTGAAGCCACTTAGATCCAACTCTGATCTTGCTCTAAACATCAGGCAAACATATAACAAGGCAGTGAAAATTTTATAATTACCAACACATAATGCCTTTTGTTTGTTCTGTGGATTTCCCATTTGTAGGAAAAAGAAAGGAAACATACACAAGGATACATCCTACGATCGGGATATTTGGAATAACGTATCCATGTGCCAATTTATTTTTTGTAAGATTTTTTAAAAATATTTTATTTATTTGATAGAGAGAAAGAGAGAGCACAAGTAGGAAGAGCAGCAGGACCCTGGGACCAAGACCTGAGCAGAAGCTAGACGCTTAACCGACTGAGCCACCTAGGCATCCCTCCATGTAGCAATTTAAACACCGTTTCCTCTCTCAATCTATTAAAGTCATTTTTTTAATTTGAAATAATCCATGCACCAATTTCTGTTTCACTGGAAGAACCCAGGCCTTGTCAAATAACACAAGAGGCCTTGTCTATCGTTCATTAATGCCACCAATGCGTATCTAGCCCTTACTAAGTGGTAGGCAATATTCTAGGGATAAGAGCTGTTCTGGTGAAGGAAACAGCATGATCCCGGGCCTTGTGCTGCACGGCTGCAGAGCATTTGCAAAGCTCATGGTCCTACTCGACTTCTCAGAAGAATTTAACAAAGTTAATCATTCTCTCTGAAAATATTCTCTTCACTTGGCTTCTAGGACACCTGGTTTTCCTGATTTTCCTCCTCCTCCTTCCCTGTTTCTTCCCAGTCTTTGCTGACTTCCTGCTTTTCATTTCCCAAATTCATGTTAAGAGGATCCCTCAGGTCCCAGGTCTCAATTCTAGGACTTCTTCAGTAACTTTTCTGACTTGTTCCATGATGCCATCCAAGCTTTAAACACTACTGGAGCTTTATGCAGTTCGTTCCTGAAGTTCTATGTCCAGTTACAATCTCCCTTCAGTGTCAGATTCCTGTACCTGGTTGCCTAGATAACATCTACAACTCTGTTTGGAATTTTGGTGACCATCTTCAAGTTCACATATCTCCACCTTCAAGTTCCCAGGTCCAAAGGGTCCTCTAGATTTTCCCACCAAATCGCTGACCCCTAACTCCTCCACAGAAGCAACGTTGACCACCATCCACCCAGCGGGCAGCCCCCTGGACTCTTTCTTTGCATCCCACCCCATATCAACCACACCACCCCCGGGGGATCAGCTACAACCTTGTCTCGCCTGGTCACCTAAGATGTCCCACTCTTGGTCGAACTCCAGTGCTCTCTCACTTCATTCAAAACATAAGGCCTACAGGACCACGTGCCCCCCCCCCCCGGGTCTTCTGTGCCTCGCCGTCCCCAGCTGTTCTCGGGGACCGCTGACGCCCCAAGCCCTGCTGCGTCTCCGTCTCTGAGGTGTCCCTGGGACCCACCACGGTCCTGGCAGTAATTAGGCAGAGCTGGCCTCCTTGGCCCGCCGCGCCCATCTCACGCAGCGAGCCCAGCCCGGCCGCACTCCTCCCACCGCCGCCCCTCACTCGCTGACCCCTGCGACAAGGCCCTCCGCCCCGCCCGGGCCCCCGCGGTTCTCCGGCGCGGGGCCTCCCGCAGCCCCTCTCCCTGAGGCTCGCTCCGCGCGGCCCCGCGCCCACCGCCTGCCCGGCCGGCGGGTCTCTACCCGGACGAGGCGCAGGTGGTCGTCCGCCCACTGCGAGACCCGCGCCACCACATTGGGCGCGGCTGCGTCCCGGTCCGGCGGCTGCGAGGCCGGGGCCACAGGCCGCCCCGCCATGTTCCCGACTTCCCGCGAGCCAGCGGCGCGCTCCTCGGGCGGACGACAGGGGGCGCCGCGCTCCTCGGAACGACTGCGCCGATCCGGGCTCCCCTGGGGCGCCGCGCGCGGACTGACAGCGGGGTCCCCGTCTCCGCCACCTGGGAGTGGCCTGACGGCTGGCTATTCCCTCGCTCGTCGCCTGTGGGCGGGCCTCGCAACGGAGTTGGAGACATGCGTCAGTGACCCCCACCCCAGCGTTTATGCAGGGGGTTTCCGTCGCGCTGGACGTCTGTGTGGGGCAGGGACGGGGGCTGAAGGCCTCCCGGCCATCCTGGTGGGGAGGGGAGATGATCAGGACGTGACTTCAGTTAACCCAGCCTTAGTGTGGGTTCCGCATCTGCAATGCAGAAAGGAAATTGAAGTAGTCCATTACTTGCACTTGCTCCCAAATATAACGAGATGCATATTATATTTGAATTGTGCTTTGAAGTCTGCACAGTTGCTTTGTAAGCCTATCACGTGCTCTAAATTGTTAAACTGTTAATTAAATGTAGAAAGCTGACTATATTAGTTTCTAGTATATTAGTAGTAGTATATATTAGTATATTTTTAAACAACATTTAGATGCAGGACAATGTAATGATATGATAACATTAGGGGCGCCTGGGTGGCTCAGTCGCTTAAGCGTCTGCCTTCCGCTCAGGTCATGATCCCAGGGTCCTGGGATCCAGTCCTGCATTGGGCTCCCTACTCAGCAGAGGCATCTGCTTCTCTCTCTCCTTCTGCCACTTCCCCTGCTTGTGCTCTCTCTCTCTCTCTCAAATAAATAAAATCTTAAAAATTTTTTGCATTACTTTCTCCCTGTGACTTGCCTTCATTGAAATAGTTGCATTGGTAATGGCATGAGGAAAGCTCCAAACCACTGATGGGATTCAGGACACACTCTCCCAAAAGTGGCACCTTGGCAGAGTGAGTATTTTAAGCTGAAGGAGTCTGAGAAAACAGCAGGAGCAGGAAGGTCATTCCGATCTCCCTCCCTTGCCCTTCTTCCCTGAAACTGGTCACAAAATCCTCCTGAGAGAAGTGCCTTCCCTATAGCTGGAGATCTGTTTCTTCAGGTCTTTATTTCCTTATGAAAGTTCTCATGTCACATAAAACTTGCATTAAATCAATTTATATCCTTTTCTCCTGTTGCTCTGTCTTTATCAGTTTAATTTTCAGACCCAGCCAGGGATCCAAAGAAGGTAGAGGAAAACTTTTTCCTCCCCACACCACAAAGAAGAGTCCGGAAACCATACCCACCCCAGCTATCCCAGCAGTAGCTGAGCTCCTTAGTGTATCTGCCATCCCTATTAATGGTGGCTTAAGTAATAATCATTCCGTTGGTGCCATGAATTCTGAAGTGCTGTTGTTTCTTGGCTTCCTGAATCACGTTGTGTCTTTGAAAAGTCACTGTTCAAATCAATGCCGTATACAACCATTGGATTTAGGACAAACTGTCCCTGACAACACACGGAGAGACTCAAGTCTCAAAGGTGCAAATGTACGGGAGCAAAATAGGTCACCCCAAAATATGGCTCTTTGGCATAAGGATTACCTTGAGCTGATTATTTTTAAGAAACTGCAGATACAAGTTCTAAAAACCAAGTAAAAGTTACTCTTTTATAAGAACAATTTACATTTATAAGGGACATCTCCATTTGTAAAGGTGTCTCTCTCTCTCTCTCTCTCTCTCTCTCTCTCTGTGTGTGTGTGTGTACCAAGGAAACTAAATCTGACTCTAAATCTCTAGAAATTTATCAGTGGAGAAGGCATGAATTTAAATCTGCATAACAACCTTACCCTTGTTTACTGGGCTTTTCAGGGTAACTTCTCATAACTGGCCTCCCCATCCCCCAACATCTTCTAGTCTTTAGCTGGAGATGTTATTTAAGGGGATGGCTTAGGCCATTTTGGGGAGTTACTCGGTTTTCCTTGGTATCTCCCAGGTATACAGGAGGTAAACACGTTCTTAAATTCTGTTTTCCTTCTGTTAATCTGTCTTTATTACAGGTGTGTCTCAGCCAAGAACCTAGAAGAGTAGAAGGAAATTTATTTTTCCTTCCCCCTACAAACTTCACCTTGGTGAGGAACCAAATGATGCTGGAGAAATCCAGAAGAAGATGAACTCTTAGCACATTATTTGTTTGCCTCAGATGTGGTTAATTCTCCAAAGCAGGTTTTGCAAATGCACCAGGTCGGTGTGAGGTACTGGCTGGGATCTTTAC